GCGACAATTGAAAGTCAGTGAACAAAAAAGACTAGTGCGCATGCGCGGGACGCCTACCACAGCGCTGCGACGGCACTAGAATGAAATGGTACTTAGTTTCCGAATACGCTACGTACATTAATTAATTATAATATTGTTGCATGCATATGGTTTGTAAAAGATTGATAATAGTTCGTAAATGATTGTCATTGCACTCAAATCCGATGATAGCTTAATTAAATTTATTTTATCAACATAAACACTTAAAAGTTCTGTAATTTTCCCCAGAAATACTCGTACAATTGTTTAGAATATCACTAAGCATAATCAGTAGTTATGCTTCAATCTAATAAGAGCGTTAAACACAACAGAATGCAAAACGCATCTTAAGAGAAAGTTAACTCAGAAATATCTCCAATCTCATGCTGAACTAACAACTGGCAACAATAACAACTTATATAGCATAAATAATGTCATAAAAATAGTGTAGTATAATGAGATTATTACTTTGAAACCGATATTTCGAATTGATGCCCAAGAAGAACAAATATTTTTCATTCTGCTTCATTGCATATCTTTCAAAAAAGTAAAAAATCATCCAATTAATTTCCTTTATCATTTTTTTTAAATGCGAAAAGTTTGTTTTACAAGCTGTGAAAATGTCGGAAGTTTGTAACAGATATATTTTTAGATATGAAATTTTTAAATTAATGGATATCAGAAAGTCTAAAAATATGAACAATTTTCAAAAATTCTCCCAAAATATTAAAAAAAAATTACACTAAAAATTTCATTTAATTTTTTTTCCCCCTCCACGGTGTGTTAACTATAATATTCTGAGATTCTCAGTTTATTTGTTTATATTTGCAAAAAGTCGTTTCAACTTTAAATTTGAAAAAAATCTAATCCTCTAAAAATCAAAAGCGTGACATCACATCCACAAGCAGTGTATGTACAAAGTTTGAGTTCTATATCATATCGGGAAGCAGTTTAAAAATCTATGACCATCTTTTAATCATAGCGACAAGCACCAAGAGTGAACTAAATAACAGCTTATAAAATAATAATAATAATTAAAAAGCATATATTTTTCAGGAACCATTACGAAAGTTCACCAGTTGCGAAAGTACAGATTACAAAATTAACAACAGTAAACAATGTTAAAAATGTGTAAACAATATTAGAAATCTGCCAATTCAGAGACGTGATTGTTCACAGAGGCTTAGGTGTAAAGGGAAAGGAAGACGGTGGTCTTCTGAACGGGTCCTAAAGACGAAACTCTTTCATGTCTTCATTTTCTCCTCTTGCTAACGGCAGCTGTGCAAAGGAGCGTTGCATGTGAACGGGGCTATATAGTTTTCACCCAGCTGCCAAGATTTTTGTAGTACTTTCTGCTTCTGGAAATTACTAGACAGCAATATGAGAGTCGAATTACGATTACAGCTAATATAATGAAAAATTATATTTTATTAAAATACAATATCTATTAAGATGATATTGTTGCCAAATGATTGGCAAGTTTCATGACTTTGGACGATTTCTCGCCAAATTTGGTAACAAAAAATAGTCATCGAAACCACTACCAGCTTGGCAATATCTCATCAAATTACCAAGATACCCATCTATTGAATGTTAAACAGACTTTTACCTTTATTTTTACTTTTCTGGCATGGCTTGTCTCTCTCAATATTTCATGTTACATCGCACAAAAAAATACTACAATTCACATATAACTGTACTAAAATCACAGAAAACTACAATCTCCCGTATAACTGTTTTTAAATCACAAAAATATACATTTGCATATATACCATATTTGAAGGCATATAAGACGCACTTTTTTTCCTAAATTTGGTCTCAAAAAAGTTACCTGCGTCTTATACGTGAAGGACACAGTCTTATATGTGAAGGTAATTGCATTCAATAATTGTTTATTTGGCTTTTACGAAGCGCGAGAACTAAAAGAAACCCCGCTATTGAAACTTTTTTCCTTGTGTGTGGCCGTCTAAATAAGGGTACGTCTTATATGCCGTCAAATATGGTAACTGTTTTAAATTCTTCTATCTATGTACAAAATTCATAACAATATTTATAATTCATTTCAAATTTGAAACCAGGCGAATGTGCTGACTGCTTGGTTTGCTCTTGTGGTTTTTCCCATGTGTAACATGCATAGATGATTTTTTTGCATAGATGATAGAGATTCTTTTATAGATGATTTTGTTTTATTTCCGAAACAACCATCACTTCCCATCAAGTATAGTATTAATAGATATTAATTTAATATCAGGTTAATTTTCAGTTGAAAGGCAAACTTTTCATTCCCAAAATAAAGGGTTCTATTCCTTTCACCATGTGTACCTGCTAAAAGCACAAATTCTTCTGCAAGTTTGAGAATGCTGTATTTTATTTAAAAAGTTTAACATACTTCATACTTTTTCACAGAAAATATCACAATACATTTTAAATACTTAGAATTACTGGAAAATATACATCAATTCTGTGACATCAAATATTTTAATATTTGTATTTATCAAAATTAATTTAAATACAGTTATTCTTGTATGTATAAGAATATTAATGCTATAGTTTAGTGTAATTTAATTAACATCCCAGGGATATCTGATAAAGTGGAGGACTTTCTAAGGAAAAAACCGCTCATATCTATGTCATGGATGGGGAAAACCATGAAACGTCCATACAACCAGCCTGTTCACCTGAAACTAAACCCAGGTCGAACTATCAGTGTTTACCCACTTTACCACTCCATCACTGGTGGTTGATATTAATACTATGATCATTTTTGCTAGTACTGTAAGTCACATCTTAACAGCCATTTTCATTACATAGGTGTGTTAAGAATAATTATAAGATTTCTTCAATTATGTGAATGCAATTCATACATTTCTTCCTTCTATTATCTCTGAAAACTATTTAAGTTTTGTAAATAATTCATATAACAAAAATCAGTTTTCTTTTGTAAAATAAATTTCAGTCCATTAAGTTTCATTCAATATTTTATTTTCTTTATTTATTGTATTCTTTTCTCTTGCAGTTTGCTCCCTGCAGTTTAAAGTTAATAGTTTTTTATGCATAGACGTGCTAGGCTTTTTACATCTGAATTAGCCAATTTTCAAATTCCTAATAAGCTGTAAAAGTAACATGTGTAGGAGTAAACAAAAGCGTTATCAGTTAAGCTTATCAGAGTTCACAAGCACTAAGAATGAACAAGGGTATCTCCTTCTGTTCTTAACTCCCTGCTCCTGAATGTGCATATCAAAAAAAAAATTTTTTTTTTTTCATAATCATCCGATTGCTATGCTTTTTCTATTGAGAAAAGTTCAAAATCAAACAGTATGTAAGAATACTAAGACTTGAACATATTTTGTCTTATCTTTACAACACAGGTAAAATATCTTACAAAAACTGATTTACCCATATCCTAAATAATTAATCATACTTTTCAGTAAACACAACATAGATACAAATAAACATTCGTAACCAAACTTTTTAAAACTATAATAATACTAATAAAAGTATACTTTGGAGGTGATACGATTTTGTCATCTTATGTCACTCTTTCTTTTTTTTTTTTTTTAAATTGAACTAAATCTCTTACACAGAGTAAGTCAAAAAAGTTTCAAAAAACTAACATATGAATTCTTTAGTTAGTATTTACACACTTAAATACACAATTAAGAAGCCAAGAGAAGGAAAATAGGTACTATCAGATTATGTGCACAACCTTGACAAGAATCACTGGGAAAAGCGATATGTTGACAAAGTAAGAATTTAGAACAAAGAATTTTATGAAAATTTATTTATCTGGAAACCCATTAATACTTGCACATTCATTATGCCACTGCATAATGAGTGCATAATGCCACCATCTATTTTGGTGGTAATGCAAGCAGATTTGAAATTCGAAAGTCTTGTTTGTGGTTTTTATTTATTCTGATTAGTATGTGGAGTTTTTTCTTGTAATTAATTGTAATGCAAATGCAAAGTTTGCCAGCTAACAAAAAAAAAAAAAAAAAAAAAAAAAACTTTTTTTTTTTTTTTTTTCAGAAAGATATAATTTTGCCTAATAGTAGAGAAAGCAGGAATGCATATTCCATGATGTTAATTTGTGCAATTTAATGACTTTTCCCATAATACGGACATGGACGAGGAAAAAAGAAAATAAAGTATTTTACTATGGATGTTTGCAGCATTTTTAATTTAGTTAACGACTGGTGACCTTGCAGAAGTGTTGTGCAGATAAGGTAAACGTATCGGAAAAAATGCTGCAAGTATTTTAAGTTTTAGGTTGTTTCCTGTTATGCACCAGCCATGCCTTTTAACTGCCTGTGAAAAAACACTAACAGATAAAAAGCTAAACACATGCTGAGACCCGCCGATAGCACCATTTGGGGACTATATGTGTGTATATATGTACGCGTGCGTGTGTGTGTGCGTGCGTGCGTGCGCGTGTGTGTGTGTGTGTGTGAACAAAAATTAAACACAAACTTATTATAAGAATACCAAAAAAATGGATGTAGTAGGTGCATACCCATTTTATAGTTTGCATTTCTTACGGTTTTTATTTTATGCATTACTGATGTTCAGAATGCAATACAGATTTTGTTAGCAAATTTAAGGAATAAAACATTAATAAAATTAATTTAATAATTTATTTCAAAAATTACTTAATTCTAACTTGCTTGCTTTTTGTTTTCTTTCAAACAATTAAGATATTCTTCATCAAAAGAATTTAACACACATTTCTAAATACAGTAGTTTAACACATCAAATTTCACCTGCAATTTGTTTTAGAGATCCCAGTTTACATTAACATTAATTTGACTTCTTTAATTTACACAGAAAAAGTTAACACATAAAGCTAACATTCTATAAATACTCTGTAACACATATATTTCGTTATGTTAATATTTTATGAAATTAACAAAAAAATTCCATAATATTTCATATTTTCAAACAGCACAATGAAAAAAAAATTAAAAGAAAATCCTAAGAAATACCTAAATGGTTATCCATTTGGCACAATAATTTTGGAACATTTTCATCTTTCTCATCTGTTTCATCAATTATTGGTGACATATTCCATATCACAATGCGACCAGTGTCTGCTCCTAAAGCAATTCAAGGTTACAATCATATGAAAGTCATTATGTTTAACTTTGCATACATATGACAAAAAAGCATATATAAGACCACATATAAGAAGGATCACATCTCACAATGAAGGCTAACTCTGAAAAAGTAACACATTAAGCGTCTACTTTACGCTACCTGGGTAATTTCTAAAATGAAGATATAGTATGACACATAACAAATCAGTTTAATTACATGAAAATCTATAATGAACATAAAAACATTTTCTGACTACATCTAGTTAACAAGAAGTCATATAGCTCTCTACAACTGTAACAATTCAAACATGTCAGTTCTTGACTCATGCTGATTGATCAGTAAAATAATGTCAGTCACAACATTAAACTATTTGGTCTTATGTATATTCTCCTCCAGTTATACAATATCTATATAGCCCACAAAATCTGAATTAATATCTGGTTGTAATGAATTTTTTTCCGCCAAAAAATATTCTTAATAAAGTTAGGGAAAAAAACACTATCTGCTTTAATGCCGGAAGTGGTGATTTTCTACCAATGTTTTGAAAGTTTTTCAAAATCTTCAGCGCAAACACTTGGTGACGGCGAGTCCAAAAAAAGATCAACCTCATTTCAGACATCCTGCACAGAATGGAAGATAGCACTAGCAAGATATAGCTGCAGGCGTGAAATAAGGTGGAATTCCGAAAGAGGGATGGTGGGCTATATGGTGGGTGTGGCAAAAGATCCCATTCAAGTCCATACAGAGTCCAGCCGGTGAATGCACACACATGTGGTCAGGGATTTATCTTGATGGAACATTTAATTTTGTACCAAAACTCGGTTTATCGTTTTTCCTTGATAGCATCGTCAACACAGACTAACATCCTGCTGTACAACTTACTGTCAAGGATTTTACCTTTTTCCAGATACTCTTTGTGGATAAATACCATGGTAATTCCACCAGATACAAAGCATGATCTTTTTGTTAATCAAATTGCACTTTGAGGCACTGTCATTGGGCTTGTCGGCCTATGTCATCGGCCTATGTTGTTGACGGAAATCCATTTTCTATTACAAGTGATGATTCGGTCCAGAATTTTGTCTTTGTGTTGATATTCGAGCAGATCAGTGCAGGCCCAAGTACGTCCGTCCTCACCTACTCGAGTCAGCTCATGCGGCACATCAAGTTTATGCAATGCATAACGCGACTAATGGACACGGCAAGTTCTTGAATGGTTGCATACTGAACTTCTTCAACAAGTTCTCACAAGCGGGCCTCATCAACATCAGCAGGCAAGCTAAAGCACTCTGCTTCTTGAATGTCATAGTCCTTGTTTTTGAATTTACAGTACCAAATCATCAGAGTGTCATATGATACAACATTAGTACCTAAAACTATACACATGATTTGGTGACATTCTGTAGCTGACGTTTTGTAACAAAACTGAAAGTAAATTATGGTTATAATTGGGAAATATGATAGTTCCATTTCAGACATCTTGTACTTAACAATATTTTTTACAAATTTCACAACACAGTGTTCTAAAGCAAGTCTCTTTCTTTCAAATGCCAGAAATCATTTGACAAATTACAATTAAATACACCAACATGAACTGTTTGCACAGACGATATTTGTGGTAGAGGGAAACTTTCGTTTAAACCCAATATTAATGTAACAATTACTGTCATTTACCACAATTTTCATCATTAAACTATAAGGTATTTCTCCTGCCTTCTTACCGAGGTGTAGTAGTGTGCACGCTCAGCACGTAATTGAGAGGCCCTGGTTTGATTCCCGGCAAAAGCGTTAATTTTTCATCTTGCCTGCTTCCAAAAATACCTAATGTCTCTACAGTGGTGCCCGAACTAAAAGGGTGTTGGATGATGATTCTCCTCACCCAGGATTTGGGGAATGGGTCCCCTAAAAAAAACCCATTCACCCTTTAAAAAGGGGGAGTATATAAGGCATTTTTCCCACCTTCTTAGCGTGCCTACGTGGTGAAGTGGTCTGCACGCTCAGCGCATAATTCAGAGGTCTGTGGTTCAATCCCAGCAAAGATATTGCTAATTTTTCATCTTGCTTGCTTCCAAAAATACCTAGTGGCGCCTAAACTAAAAGGGTGTTGGATGATGATTCTCCTCACCCAGGATTTGGCAATTGGGTCCCAGTCACCCTTTAAAAAGTATTTCTCCCACCTTCTTGACATGTCTTTGTGGTACAGTGGTCTGCATGCTCAGCGTGTAATTGAGAGGTCCGCGGTTCGATTTCCGGCGAAGGCGCTGCTAATTTTTCATCTTGCCTGCTTCCAAAAATACCTAATGTCTCTACAAAACAATCTTTCATAGACATATCAATACATTCAACAGCAATCTGGATCTGGCTTTTTATATAAACAAGAAATGTTTTACAGATACAGAGCTGAAGTTGACTCTTTGACTACAAAAGTCAAAAGCTACCCTTTTACAAATCACCTATATGTTTACACAGAAAGTTGCACCATTTTTTAAACCACTTTGATTTTTTTTTTTTTTTTTTTTTTTTTTTTTTTTTTGAAAAGCAGATAACACATTATTTAATAAGGGAATTCTAGCCATTGTGACAGAGAGCCTGGCCAGACTGGTTCTAACTTACCTCAATTACATTCTTCTCATTCACCTTATATTAAGATAATAGATGCAGTGGCTATATGTATATGTATATTGATATATATATATACAGTACAGTCCTTAATCCGGACGTTCATAACCCAAAATGATCTATAATCTGGACCTCAAAGCTACAAACTTTCTGCGCATGCGCATAATACCTTTACGTATGCGCATAATACGTTTATGCATGCGTGTTTAATGTATAACAGACAGTATAAAATGTGCTAAAATTATCTAATTACCTATTTATATACTACAAAGCGAAAGCATGTCTCGGTGTCCATCAAACAAAAAGTGGAATTGCTGCAAAAAATGGATAAAGGCATATCCTTTGTTTCTCTAACCATTCCGAAATCTGTTTATCAATTTCAAGCTGCTCTGCAGGGGCGAAACGTCGCGGCGCGCAATGAACTGGAAGTTGATCTGTCAGCACTATCCTTATCTTCAGGACAGATGTTTTTATTTCATTTGGCTTATAATTCCTTACTAAATGTAGTATTTCATCTCGATGTACTCCGTCTTTGATATGATTTAAATCAAATTCCTCGTCATTATAAATATCACGAATACACAAATAGTTTTCTGGTTGCAATTTTCTAATTTCGACTATGCGTAATGTATGCTTTACGCATGCGCGCGTTGAAAGAAATGTTTAATAAAGTAAACAAATAAATTTTAAGCTTTTTTTTTTGTAAATTTTGATACCCTTTAGATCATAATTGCTCTTTATTTCATAAATTACGGTTTCATATTTTTAATTTTATAATTTCTGCATGCCATCTTACCAAATTTAAATTGATGATCTAAAATCCAGAAAAACCGATAGTCCAGAATCACCGAAGTCCCGATGAGTCTGGATTAAAACTGTATCAGTTAAACCTTTTCGCAGAAGTGCAATTATGATCTAAAGGGTATCAAAATTTACAAAAAAAAAGCTTAAAATTTATTTGTTTACTTTATTAAACATTTCTTTCTACGCGCGCATGCGTAAAGCATTCTTTACGCATAGTCGAAATTAGAAAATTGCAACCAGAAAACTATTTGATGCGTATTCGTGATATTTATAATGACGAGGAATTTAATTTAAATCATATCAAAGACGGAGTACATCGAGATGAAATACTACATTTAGTAAGGAATTATAAACCAAATAAAATAAAAACATCTGCCCTGAAGATAAGGATAGTGCTGAAAGATCAACTTCCAGTTCATTGCGCGCCGCAATGTCCCCCTCCCCCACAGAGCAGTGCGAAATTGAACAGATTTCGGAATGGTTAGAGAATCAAAGGATATGCCTTTATCCATTTTTTTCAGCAATTCCACTTTTTGTTTGATGGACATCGAAACATGCTTTCGCTTTGTAGATCCTTTGGTAGCTCCAGAATCGGAAATTCTTTTTGACATAATCGAAAGTTTAAGCTTACTTTTATAAAATTGCTCTAACAGTATGCAAAAAATTAATAAGCCGGATCCAATTAGAAGATTAACCCCTTGGGTACATTTGACGTCTGAGACACGTCATTCACTTTTTCTACCTTAGGAGCGGATGACGTGTCTAAGACGTCAAACCAAAAATTAAGCTCTTGGGTACATTTGACGTCTGAGAGACATCATTCACTTGCTTTCCCTACGAGCGGATGATTCACATACTTAGAACGAAACATTCAAATGCTGATTTGATAAACACAGGCAAAAGGAGAAAAAATTAAGGTGGCGATAGCGAAAATATTATAAAACCGGCATCAGATATGGCCTTTTATAATGCTTATGTTTTATATTCTTTCATTTAGCTATTGCCGAAGAATTGCTGGAGCAATTGTCATTGCCAAATTATAAGCGTCGTGGACGCCCGTCAAGTAGCGATACACAATTTCGTTTGGCAGCGAAAAATTAGGCACACTTTCCTGAGAACATTCCATCAACTAAGTCCAAGCAACATCCTGGAAAAAAGGTGCTGTGTTTGTCATAAGCATAGTATTAGGAAAGAGACTACGTGGCAGTGCAAACAATGCAAAGTAGCACTGCATTTACTTACTTGCTTTGAAAAATTTTACACTATGCATAATTATTAGTAATTGGATTTTTTTATTATAGCTTGAATTTATTTCATTTAGTTTTATTTTGTTGTTGTTAATTTATTTTTGTTTTACAATTCTAGTTACTTGAAAACATCTTAATACTACATATGTCACCAATATTTTAGAAATAAATAAATTCTTACGTAAAATGTACTGCTTTTGCATTCTACTCCAAGCAACCAAAAATTATATCCGTTCCACATGCAAATATTTTCTCTAAATCCGTACCCAAGGGGTTAAGGAACAATGCAATCTGCAACATTCACTGAAATAGATAATTAGATAATTTTAGCTTAGCTTATAATGTCCGTTATACATTAAACGTGCATGCGTAAAGGTATTATGTGCATGCGTAGATGCATATGTGCATGCGTAAAGGTATTATGCACATGCGTTGACGCATGCACAGAAATTTTGTAGCTTTGAGGTCCGGATTATAGACGTCCGGATTAAAGACTTTTGACTGTACAAGTTTACTTAATCTGATGTTGGGGAAAACGAATAGAGACAATATTAAAATTTTTCATTCAGCTTTATTATATATAATGGCATAATCATCACAGCATTAAAAATACATGAAGATATATAAGGTTAAATTACAGAAAATTTAAATGCTATACAAGAAATATTTTAAAGGAATGTTCCAAAGTTTACCTTGACCTCCAGTTGCAAAACGTGAACCATCTGGATGTATGTCAACAGAGAATATTGGATGGCCTAAAAAATTTTTTTTAATTTATTAGTTCTCACAAAAAAATATATCACAGAAAATATCACATAATAATTATATTACTTTATTTACTAATATTTCAACTTAGCTGAAGAAAAGTAGGTTCAACTGAATTTACTGGATCAATTGAGGCAAAGCACACGAAAGCTTTAGACTGTTGTACTGTTATCAACCAGAGAGGAAGAATGTCTTTCTAGCTCATATTTACAGAAGAAAATTATTAAATATTTGCAGGAAAAAGAAAGGTAAAAGCCAACAACAGATGAGAATAACAAGATAAATTCCATGAGAAGATTTACGGAAACCACTTTCTAAATAAGGTTAATATAATGGATAAAAAGCTTTTGCAATTTTCATATGTGAAGATGAGCATACACAGCACAATTCTATACTTAAAAACCATATTGAAATTATCCTAACCAGTTAAAATTTTAAATTTCTTGTTATGTTGCAGAATGTTTGCTTTCCAATGTTTCATGCTGTATATACCAACATCCATCTGCCTGATGGAACATAAAATGTGATTCATCGGAAAAAGTTGCCTATCGCCACTAAGTGGACATCCAGTTGCGATACTGGCGTGCAAATTCCAGCCTTCATCGCCAATGAACTACAGTCAGCACAAGAGCTTTAACCAGGCATCTGCTGCGGAGGCCCATAAGCAGCAACATTTGCTAAGCCGTCGATGAGGAGAGACTGTTGGTAGCCCCTTGGTTCATGTGAGGAGTCAGCTGCTCAATGGTTGCACGTTTTTTCGCCCAAACGCATCTCTCCAGCTATCATTCACCTCTGTCATCTATAGCCTGTTGTGCATCACATTTGATACGTCGCTGATTTTGGATTGTGCCATTTTGCCATACATCATATACTTTTACCACAGCAGCACGCGAGTAGTTTGCAAAATTAGCCGTTTCGGAAAAGCTTCTACCCTGGCCCAAAAGCCAATGATCATGCCCTTTTCGGCATCAGATAAATCGCTCTGTTTCTATATTACACCAACGTTTGCAATGTTTTCTGATTCTCTTGGACACTCTTTATATATGCTCCAATGCAATGTGTTGACACTTGCCACTTTTAAAAACTTCTTAAATAATTTTAAACAGTTTCTGGTGTGATAGATATATATCTGAGAATTACTGAAATTAATGTGTGTAATTTTTTAAATGAAAAAAAGTATTTCAGTTAAAAAAATATCTATAATAATTTAAATAATTCTTTCAAATGTAAAAGAATGATATTGGTTGCCTTTAAAAACACTTAACACAAACCACTTTTCTTCTAGAATGTCTTTCCTTGCTATTAACAGTGCATATAAAATTTATATCTTCCAAAATGGACAGTTTATCAGATGGAAATATTGAAAACATTACCTTATTTACCAACATTTATGTTTGGTAAAAAGAAAAAAAGTGTAGCAGAATATGCAGATGACAGGGTTCGTACACATTTCTGCACACGGAAATTAAGTACTTTTAAGGAACATTAATGAAAAAATTAAGGACCTATGAGCAAATGGGAACTGAATAAATTCAATTAAAAATATTATTCTATGCCTGAATTTCATTTTTGTAATACAATCCTAAAAATAAAATAGATCCCTAAGTAGTATGCATTATTACTAAACACGAATTAATTAATATATTATTAATAAGTTTGAGAATAAAATAAACTATGCAATTTATCAAGTAGCATTAAATATTTCACACTTATAATAGTTGGACATATTTGAAAGAAGATAAGTGACATTTATGTTTTACTAATAGTTAGCTTTATGTTGATTTTTTTATGTCTCATTTTGTTACATACTTAGTCAGTCCAAAGGTTTAGTAAATAGCAGGTAGATTTTATGTCAAACGGCATAGGTTAAATGAGAAGTAAGATCATAATCAGCATGATTCATAACAAAAGATTGAATGTTGTCACCACTGTTGCTTGTCTAGAGAGAGACCTGCTCATTAGAACACACCTGAAAGGCCTGATGAAGACACAGTTGGCAAGTGATGAAAGTTAGTCAGGCTCTGTTTGATACAGTTAGTGTCATAGCTTTGTTTAGAGTTCCAAGGGGTTGTAGCCTAGTTAATATACTTTAATGTTCCAATAAGCGATTAAAGTATCAGAGATGATATGTTGTTTTGTATTATTTTTTAAGTTTCACTAAATGCAAAGAATAAGTTTTACTTGAATTTTTACATTTTTGTGTTTTATCTTGAGTTATCCTTAGTGAGTGTTAATGAAAGGCAATAACTCACATTAATATACAGAGATCATTTTTAAGGGTAAGCAGTTAGCTATAAATAATTATATTAAGTAATTAAATAACCTTAGTCATTATGGATTTACATGGCCACTATTAAATTTTATTTTTTAACAATATTTGTTAAAAAAAAGTCCTATTAAACTCAAAATCTAATAAAATTTCACAGTTTAAAATATATATAATTTATGACATTGATTCTTAAACGATATTAGGATACACATTAAAAGCTACAAAACATTTACGTTTTATAACAACAACACTCAACAAAATATTTATCCTTCATTTTATTTTGAAGCCTTCCCAAACATTTTGACTAGTTTATATCGATTTCCTTCTCTTTAAGCATCTTTTCTAGCAATTAGAGATTTGTCTCAATATGCAAACCAATGCTCTTGCTAGTTTCTACGTGCTTATCTCCAAAAAGTTAAATAGTCCCAAACCCCCGACTGAATCATAAACAATTGCATAAGTTACATAATAATAACTGCACATATCTTTGAAAAGTAATTTTCTTTTATTCAGTTTCTTTCTTCAACATGCTTCCTTTTCATTTTAGAATTTTTGGATCTAATTAAGAATGTCTGTTATTCTAAAAAACACTAAATGCATTTAGAATGTATAGAAAAGCGGCTAATTTTATTTCTTTAGTAATATGAACATTCAGAAGAAATATGAAATATATATGGTAAAGCCCGGTTACAAAGCTGGTGTGGCAGAATTTTTAGAATTTAGTGATACACCGAACAAGAAAATCTAGAAATAGCAAAACATTTAGAATTTAGAGCAGGCATTAGAAGCAGGATTTGGAAAGGCACTAGACAGCAGAATTTAGGATCCACAGAAATTGCATCAGGTGGGAAATGCCTAGTGCCAGCCCTGTGTATGATGCATTAAGACATTCTAGATGAATCTTTTAAATTGTCAGTTTTCGTTTTCTTTATTAATAAAAAACTTCTTTTATATAATGCCTGTCCACATGATAAGATTAGAAGCATTTTTCATATTTTCCATGCCTGTGTCTAGTGAAAAGTAGAGAAAATAAAGGGATGATAAAAATGTTAAGAAAAAGATTCTAGTATCAGGAGTAAAACATTAAAATATTATGTTTTCATTGTTCTTCCAGATGTCCTTCAAAAGGTAAGAAATTCATCGCAAACTTTCTGTAAAATACATCTATTATGTGTTGATACCACGGAGACATTTTTCATTTTGTCACATATTTCTCGAATCTTCTAGAATCATGGATCTATAAATCTTGCCTTTAAATCTTTCTAAAATTTCCAACTTGCAATGTCTAAAATACTAAAGAAAAATTATCCCCATCAATTCTGTAATAGCAAAAAGCCAGAAATATTTTCGAAAAAAAAAAAAAGGAGGGAAAATGTGTAAAATTAATTTTATAGTAAAAACTGATGTATATTCTAAGAATTTTGAATATTCTGAGACACTTACAGGGGAAAAATGCTTACTATGAAAAAATTAAGAAGAAGACATTTTTAATTAATTACATAGCTAATTTTGCTCTTGCTAAAAGCTGTTTCGTAAATTACGCTTTATAGCCTTATGCCTTATTTCTCAGATTCATAATATTTTATAATCAGTTGCCAAAATAAAACTTTATAATATGACAGCGAAAAATAGAAATGTTTTATTTTAATGTTAATTTTTAAATATAATTTAAATATATTACCATTATTTTAATGAAATTTATCAATGATATGATGTTTTAAAAAAAAATCGTCGAAAAATTCTCAAATCTCGGAATTAAAAATTTTCTATAGAAACTAATCTTAAAATCGCCAAAATGTTGACAAGTCGTGAAATTTAGAACAATTTACTAATAAAAGAATTTACATCCCCAAAAGTGATAAGTTGTTTAAGAGTTCTTTATTAGAAAAAATGAATTTCGAAATGCTTGTGTTTCACTTCTTGCTTAGAAACTTGAGTATCCCATCATTTATATTAGAAATAGAAACAAATTATAACCCATTCAAAAAATAACCATCTATGTCAGTGAATCGCCAAAAATATTCCTCCAAAATGCTAATTCATACTCAAAATGGCAGTCATAAAAACAGAAAGAAATTTCAGATGATTAAAATTAAGCCTTCTGCTGATGTTGGCCAAAATTAAGGACTTTTAAGGACCAAAAATCAATTCCAAAAAAAATTAAGGACTCTTAAGGATTGTATGAATCCTGGATGATTAATAATGAAATATATATATGAGGTTTTAGACTAAAGCAGCGATTCTCAACCGGTGGTACGCAAGAGAAAAATTGGGGGTATGCAAAGTCTATTAAATTAAAAACTTAAATACTTCAGCATTCTGTTTAAGTTTTTTTTCTAACACTTGTAAATTCATGCCCTCTGAGCTTTGTTCAAGGTCAGTAGAGCTCACGGACTTTAGCAAAATTAGTCATTTTTATTTTCACAAATATTCTTTTAGCCATAGACATAACAAAATTTGTCATAAATGGTGTTTTTAAATGGAGTAATAGAAATGAGTGCTGTGTTTAATAGGAAATAAAAATAAATTCCTATAAAAAGGATAATAGTATCTCATTAATTCTTTTAGAGTTGAATGACTTATTAGCATGTCTAAACTTCATGCCGACACCATTTCCGGGCTCATATTGTTCTATTTTCAAATACAATAATTTTTTTACGTCGATTTGCTGTCTCTAACAGCAGGTATTTTGTCTTGTTGCTTTATATTCCTTTTCTAAGCGATTTGAGAATAT